AGACCGGCAGGAGAAGAAGGTCCTAGGCTCCTCTTGAGATTGAGCGTGAGATGATTGAAAAATCATGCCTCCTGGTGAGGCAGAATGACCCATGAGAACTAGCCGCTTATAGAGAAGACGAAGTCCATGCCATAGCATTTGGCAACCACTTTTCCCTACTTTTCTTCCTTCATCATGTCCAGATGGCTATTCCTTACCCAAAGTGGCAAATTCCCCATACTTCACAAGGGCTGCATCTACTTAACCTATTTGATCATCTCAGTTAAAAACTTAGCAGTTGCTAGTCCTAAGCTGGGGGTGAGACGTCCTGTGGCTGTGTTGTGGCAGATTGGGAAGTTTATCATTTAGTGTGCTGTCCAATCCAGCTTCAGTGTATGGCTTGTTCTTCTTGGTCCACCAAAGAAGCTTTGTTCCACAATTGTCTTCCCACTTGGAACCTCCCACAATTCCTCAGCCTTGAGAACTTTTTAAGAAGTGTGGACTTCAACCCATGCTGGCTGAGGTATTCTGGGAGTTGAAGTCCACACTTCTTAAAGTTGCCAGCGCTGGGAAGCACTGCTCGAGATTGGAGGCCCTACTCCTCCAAGAGGTCTACCAAGGTAGCAAAAAGTTCTCCAGAGGACAACTCCACAGGCCCATTTTACCACCCACCAAGCAAGGAAATCTCTTCTACCTCAACCTGGAAACATTCCAGAAGATTTTCATGACCTCCTCTTTCTCCTTCTGTGGTTCTTGCAGGACTCCAGTTCTAGGCTTGGTGACCTGGAGAAGACACTTCCTGGCTTTCAGGCACAGGATTCACGGAGCATCAGGACCTGGCGTGCCCTTCCTTTGGACTTCCCTGCACTTGACAAGAATGTCCTTCCTCCCCACGGCATACGGCCGTTCTCTGCACTGCCACACCGCCCTCTCCTCCAGGAGGGAACATGCATGGACAACGTGGCCCATGCCTCTCCTTCTACGGCCCCTCTTTCCGTTACTCCTTTCCCCAAAGGAGGACCCTCCCGGCTACACGTCCCTTGGACTTCAAGGGTTCCAAAACGGCCTTTTGCCTGCCAAGGTTTAGGCACCAGATGGTGAAGCGCCACAAGCAAGCCGCCTTTGATGGCAACTCGTCCCAACATCAGAAGAAGGGACAGATGGACAGCACTGGTCAACCCTGGAAGAGAACTGCGGGGCGGGGGAGAAGCAAAGGGGTTAATTGTTAAGTTGTCGGTCTCTCTCTCTCTCTCTTTTCCCTCCCCACACACAGAAAATATACCTGAGTCTGTATGCCCCCCTCTTCCCCCCCCCCCGGGAGGCTGCTGTTGGCCACATTGGCCGTGTCCATCCACGGTGGTCTCTCCATCATGAACTTCTTTTCAAACAAGACGAGAATTCCCAGAGGTTGTGTTTTGGGTTTTTTTTTTTAAATTTCTGTTATCCTTTCTTTTCTTTCTTCCTTCTAATAATTTAATTATTGATGTGGATGATCAGAGAGGGGAAGTAAATTAAATAGGACACTTTTCTTTTGTATTATTGTGAAGAGTGGAAGGACTTTCTTTCTTTCTCTCTCTGTCTCTCTCTCCCCGTCTCTCCCTCCCTCCCTCTCCCTCTCGCTCCCTCTCCCTCTCTCTCTCTCCCTCTCTGTGTCTCCCTCTCTCCCTTTCTCTCCCTCTCCCTCTCTTGCTCCCTCTCCCTCTCTTTCTCCGTCTCTCCCTCCCTCTCCCTCTCTCCCTTTCTCTCCCTCCCTCTCTCTCCCTCTCTCCCTCTCCTTGTCTCCTCCCCCTCTCTCCCTCTCTGTGTCTCCCTCCCTCCCTCTCTGCCTTTCCCTCCCTCTCCCTCCCTCCCTCCCTCCCTCTCCCTTTCTCTCCCTCTCCCCCTCTCCCTCTCCTTCTCTCCCTCCCTCTCTCCCTCTCCCTCTCCTGCTTCCTCTCTTAATCTGGCATGTTTCACACACACACACACGTTCATTTGGGTTTCCAATGCTTTCTTAATGTAAGGTTCTTAGGAACATTTTATTCACTTATTGTTCTCCATAAAATGGTGGAGGACTCCTGGGAACACAAAAAAATCAGTGGGTCCTTTAGGTGGGGCTCCAAAAAGTCAAGAACGCAGTTGCAACTGGGTGATCAAGACAAGCATTATCTATGGTTCAGTTGGATGGAGATCCCGGAAACTGCGATCACAGGATGTCCATTCCTGGTTCTTGGAGGTCACCCAATCACCAGAGGGTCTACCAGGAGAAGAGAGGTCAAAACGTCAAGGTCACAAACTCATAACATCACCAATCATGAGATTGGAAGGGGTTTGGGAGGTCCTACTTCAACCACCTGCCCAGGGCATGTATCCTCAAACCATCCCCGATTATCCCACACAAATGACTGCTTCATACATCTCGTAGTCCTCCTTATTTCAAATTTGGATCTCTCTCACTCTCTAAAGCTTCCGCCCAAGGTTCTTGAGAACTTTGGAGAATAAATTCAATCCTCCTTCTCCGTGGCACTCCTTCATCTAGGTCTCAAAGCCCACCTTGGATTGTTGTGGGCTTTGTATCCTGGAGACAAACGTGCTTGCACTTTTTTCCCCCTTAAGCATTGGTTCTTATTCAATGGGATATTAGAACGTTTGCTTCATCGGAGACCCTTAGGTTATCCTTGCACTGGCTGGGG